AGCGACCACTACCAATTGAGGGTTATGAGGATTATTTCAACTCTCAATGTTGAATAGGGTGGTTTTATCAACATTATCGGTGATATTAGGTAGCTTATTGTTATGATTATGGTTGATTGAGTTAGTTATAGGATTAATATTCTTCTTGGTGATTTTTAAAGGGTCATTGTTTTTTATAATCATTAACTATCTAACGAGTCATCAAAATGTGTGAGGAGTTCTTGAGAATTGCTTAAATGACTAGTTGATAAACCGATCGATATGCAAAGAGTTAGTGTTGTAACATATAAAAACAACGATCAACCAACGAAATATAATTAATACAAGTAGTAAAAGGTATGAGAGGAAGAACGAGCGAGTGCTAAAAAGACACAAGTCATAGTGGTAGGCAAATGTATGGTCAAAATCCAAACAAATGAAACTCTGCTATGAGCCCACCAAGTCAATCTCTTGAATCCATTCCAAAGACACAGAATGTATACTAATCATGTCAAAATACCTACATCCATCCTTACGTGGCCAAAAATCTTATATTAGATGAGACACATCTTTTGTCTAATTTATTTGTTGTATAGCTTCATGGGTAACTATATGCAAACTATTTCTGGAGATTTTTTTTTCTCCACCAATGAGAGGGTGACCATATCTAACTTGAAAAGAGAATGCCAAAATTCTAGAGAGTACTAGTTGGAATACATTAAACATTAAAAGATTGTATCCTGGACATCTAAAAGGGCTTTAATGAGAAGAAAGTTGTCAATCTGTGTTTTTAGGGTATGTACACAGAGTACAAGATAAAGATTGAGAATTTGGGCTTGAGCATTTTTTTCTACATTTGGTGGAAAGCATTCATCGAACCAACAACTCCACTATCCTTTAAAAAGAAATGACTTCAACCTTGTTATTAGTTGTACCAAAAGTGGTTTTCTAATGAATTCCATCCAGCTAAATGAGTGACTAACAAAAGAACAAGAAGGACGGTTATTGACCCAGACTTATAAAAAGTGAATCCATTATCATCTTTCTCTTGCTCCATGGACATAGTCTATGCTCTATTAGACCATCGGATGGTTGGCCAAGTTATTATCCTCTTTTAGGTGAAAAGCTATCATCTCAAGAGGACAACGCAAAGTGATGAAGCTTTCACTAAGTCAATTGATTGGTCGCTTATGCATTGGAGAATCTATGAGCATTTCATGCTCGGTTAGTTCTTCTAATGTTAATGTCATGTTCATCTAGTCATATTATATGTTGGTCGGATCTTGAGCATTTCATGTCCGAGTTATTTTTTTTTATGGCAATGTCATATCCATCTCGCTTAAGGTATGCGTTAGCCAGTGCCATAAGCATTTTATATTTAATTTTTCTTTCTAATGACAACATTACATCCATCCGGTCAAGCTACATGCTAGCAGGTATGTGAGCATTTCATTCTTAACTTTTCTTTCCAACCGCAACATTGTGTTCATCTAATCCAACCATCCGCAAGTTAGGCCATGAGCATTTTATGCTTTTTTCTTATGAAAACACTATATCCATCTAGTTAAGTTGCATATATGCCAATCCATGAGTATTTCATGCTCAATTTTCTTTCTAATGGCAACATCATGTCTATTTGGTCAAATTGTATGCGAGTTAAGACATGAACATTTCATGCTTAGTTTTTCTTTCGATAGGAACGCCATGTCTATATAGCTAAGTTGTGTGTTGATCAAGCCATGAGTTTTCCATGCTTAGTTTTACTTTTAGATGACAAGTACCATATTCATCTTACCAAGCTACATGTTGGTCAAGTTGTGAGCTTTTCATACTTAGTTTTTTGTTTGATGGCAATGACATATCCATCTAGTCAAACTACATGTTAACAAGTATATGAAATTTTTATAGTTATCTTTTTTTTTTTTCTCGATGGTAATGTCATATCTATATGACCAAATTATTCTCTAACCATATAATGAGTTTTTCATGCTCTTTTTTTTTTTCCGTAGTGGCAACACCATGATGAAGTAATTAAGTTACATATTAGCTAGGTCAAGAGCTTTTAATGTTCATTTTTTCTTTCTAATGGCAATACGATGCCTATCTAGTCAAGCTACAAGTTGGCTAGGTCATAAGCTTTTCATGTTTAGCATTTTCTTTTTATGACAACGTCATGTCCATCTAATCAAGTTATATATTGGCCATATTATGAGCTTTTCATGCTTTAATTATTTTTTTCTCATGGCTATTTCACGTCCATCTAACCAATCTACTTCATGTTACAATGCGAGTTTTTCATGTCCGGCCCTTTCTTTTGGATAATCGATCACCTATGATTATATTTTTGACTAAGCTGCAAGCTTTTTGATGCATGATCACTATTTTTTTATCGGTGGCCGCCTATGGTCATGGCATATCCATCTAGCTAAGCCACAAGCTTTTCAAGCTCTATCATTTTTTTCTAGGGACTCGTCCAAGTCGTTAGCTTTTCATGCTCAATCATTCTTTTTAGAGGGGTTGGTCGCCTTTTGCCGCTCTTTGCTTATCTCGGTTAAGCTGTTCTAACATAACTAAATGTTAGCTTGTACAAGTCCAAAGAATTCATCACATGACTTGTTTAAATTACATATATACTCCATGTATAATAGAAAATTCAATCTCATAATTATGAGTCGAATGTTTAATAAAAGTTTCCACTCTTTTAATTGATGGACCAAAAACTTAGAAATGAGTCAAAAAGTTCAAGATCCATTGTCTTTCGACATCCATTTTGCCTATATCAAATGAATGTCTAAGTATTTCCTGAAAAAAATGGTATTCAAGACACTAACACTTTTGAGACCGATCTGCTTATGCATTAGTCTAGAGAATTCTATCTAATGAGATCATCATTGTTATCAAGTTTGAATTTCTCATAGATGTGCATTCTTGCTTAGAGGCTACCTACTTGTCAAACAAATTCCACACATACACTTAGTAAAACAATTTCAAGAAAAAACGATCACTTCAAGAAGTGATGACACACTAATAGGTGGCGAGCGCCTTGAAGATGATTGATAAGTGGTAGGATATTTGTCATGGCAAAAGCCTAAAAAGTAAAAGGCATTTGTCATTAAAAACCACTGTTAAGTGACAAAATACTTGCCAGAATCGATATTTTTTGTACGATGACTTGCTTAATTAGGTATAAAAAAAAACCTATATTATTTTAGGTTTTTTTTATTTTTACTAGATTCATATCGTGTGCTTTGTGGCCGATAACCTTATAAAATATGTTTGAAAAGAATAACTAATTTTTAAAATTTTGGTGAACGAAATGAAAATCAATCAATATTAATTTTGAAATTTTTTTATTTAATATGTATTTTTTTAGTATTTACTATTTTGTGTTTTTATTTTTGAATTTAAATATATTAACATAAACCTATAACCCATTAATTTAGATTTTTGGATTAAAATGATCTTCATTCTTGTATGTAAGCCCTCACGTGTGCAGGCTTAAGTGACTCGCTAATACAAATGAATCTCCTCATCTAGTGGTATCAAAGTCAATGGATTGGCTAGTATGCGTCGATATGGTAGATGTTTGCGTAGCCAATAGTATAATATTGGCTAGGACGAGTACGAAGGTAGAATGGATTGACTTTCATAGTTGTTACTCTCATTGTAAAAGTAAAAAGCTAGTTGGACTCTTTAATGACGAGCAGATGGCTTGCGAAGCAGTAGGACGCGGCTACTGGGATAGAAACAGATGGCAAGTGCAAGCTCCTGGACGAGTAGGCTTTCGTAAGAGAGGTAAGCTTTTAATGGCCCTATAGTACTCAGTGGTGATTGTCGCATTTGGAATTGTTAAATACTTTTACTGTTCGAGTAGTAATCGAATGGACTGGACTCACATATGAGGAGGAGATTTTTTTGATACAAATGCGAGTGTTAAACTATTTTATATAGAAAAACAATGAAAAAAATGAGGTGCTTATATTTTGTGTTGAAGTGGCCATTAGTACTAGTTTTTGTGTTAAAATGGGGTGTATCGTTATGTGTAAATTTTTACGTACGCTGGCCTAAGTAACTCTCCAGTGCAGATTTTCCTGCTAATTTGGAATTCAAAAGTTCGTTGTTTGCCGTTTGTTATGCCAATTTTCTCATAAGAAAACAGAAATGTTTGCTTTTAATTCAGTGACTGTGTTAGCTTGCTTTATTCCTCAGGAGTCATTACAAAAATTATTAAGGCAAAATAGTACAACCCTTTCTCCTTTCTCGTATTCCACGAACAAGAATGCTGTCTCTGATCCACCAATTATCCTTGTAAACACATTTCTTTGGTAGAATTATAAATTTATTTAATCTAAGAAGGGCTTGATTCATCTTAGCTTATTCTTGTATATATAATTTTTTCTTTTTTCTTTTTCTTTTTCTTATTTTTGTTGATGAATACAAATTGCAATTCCATTAAGGCAAAAATACAAGAGGCTAATTCTGCAAGAAGCCAACAAAAATGGCACAAGAAATATACTGATAAGAACAAAACATGTAACATCACAACATGGAATAAAAATACCAAAAGTAGACACTAATGAAAAACAAAACAACCAGAACTTTCTGAAACAATTATGCATGTTCATCCAAAAGGACCAAACTAAACAAAACACAAATATAAGCAACTCCAACTGAAAATTTTGCTGCAGAAGCAACTAGCAGATATTCAAATCTGAAAGCTGCATTTGCTAAGCATGGTTAACTTTTTAGCTATATAACGCCTTCAGATCTTCTAAGCCAGCATTCCTGTCAGTACATAATGTGTGCAACTATTAATTTGTTAACTAGTTCAGATGTGTTAACATGTGCAGCATCCAACAATAATCAAGGGGCTAATATATCTTCTTGAAATTCTATCCGTAACCTCTTGGCTGACTAGATAAGAGAAAAGACAATGAAAATTCTACCCACTTCAAAACCGAAGAAACATTAGAGAGTCTGTAATTTGTTCATTTCTCTCTCTTTCCTATCCAGTGCCCTTCATGAATTACACTCTCCTTTTCCTCCTCCTCATCCACTCAACTGTCACAGCCGATGACGGTGCTGTCGTGCTGAAGTTAGCAAATTCCCTGAGCCCCTTGTCCACAGGTTGGTCCAATGTGTCCTCCAGAGGCTTCTGCACCAACTGGGCTGGTATGCAATGTGATTCCTCCGGTAGAGTCTCCTCAATTAACCTCTCTAATTTTGGCCTCATTGGCACCCTCCCTTCAGAGTTTTCTAACCTAACTGAACTCCTGTCTCTTTCCCTAGAAAATAACAAACTTCCTGGACATGTGGCGTCTCTCGCCAACTTCTGCAAATTGCAAACTACTTTCCTGGAAAAAAATAATTTTAAGCCTTGGATTCAATAGTTTTGCTGCATGGAAACTTCCTGCCGATCTTGCTCGATGTACTGGTCTCAAATCTTTCAAAGCCACCAATTCCATTATTACTGGTTCCATTCCCGGCATATTTGCCTCCCTATCAAGCTTGCAGGATTTGATGCTGGGCTTCAATAATTTGAAAGGTCCTTTGCCACCATCTATGGCAAAATCTGGGATAAAAAACTTGTGGTTAAATAATCAGCTAGAGGGATTAACTAGTAACATTAATGTGCTAGCATCAATGACCCAACTGTCCCAGGTGTGGCTCCATGTCAATAAATTTACAGGTCCAATTCAAGATTTGTCGAATTGCAAAAGCAACTTGGACTTGCAGCTGCGAGACAATCTGCTAACAGGTATAGTTCCATGTTCTCTGGTTTCACTTCCTAGTTTGCTAAATGTTTCTTTGTCAAACAACAAATTGCAAGGCCCTGACCCTGCATTTCCATCTACTGTTACAGTAGATGACTACCACAGCACAAACAATTTCTATGCAGATGCCGGGGTTCCATGTGATCAACAGGCGACCACATTGCTTCAGATTGCTGGGGATTTTAGGCATCCAGTGCGCTTGTCCGATGGATGGTACAGAAATGGTGTCCTGTGTGTAGTTGGTTTCGTGTTGGATGCAATTCCCTAAGAATTGTCAGTATTTTGAATTTGAGAAGGCTGAATTTAGTGGGGACAATCTCTCCTACATTTGCAAATCTTTGAATCGCAATAATTTGAAGTTGTCCAGTTCCTACTAGCTTGACAAAGCTAGCACAGCTTCTGACGCTTGATGTTTCCAAAAATAATCTATCTGGAAACATTCCAAAGTTTTCACCATCTCTGAGGTTGATAACTAAGCCAGGGAATGATCTGCTGGGCCTGGAAACAAATTTTAGTATTTTAAAAACGAACTCCTATTACAAATGCTTGTGGACCAAGCCCTAGCAAATCACCAGTAGAGCCTAGTGCCTAAGATACCAGGAGGTATGTACTGGCCTAGCTCATTGTTACAGTTACAATTTTCATTGTTCTTTTATTATGACAATGGGAAAGCATTGGATAATAATGGGATTCTTGTCAAGTAGCAGATAGTGCCAGAGTCTAATTTGAGGTGTTAACATACTTCCGACAATAGACTTCACAACTATTCTTTTGAATTTATGTTATTATTGACTTCGGTTCTGTGATTAATTTATTCACTAACTTCCTTTTCTTATGTCTTACTTTCCTATATTATCCTTGTAGCTGCCGATTCCAGTAGTATTCATAGTCAGCAGCCATAAGTAACTTCGTGTTTTAATATATAATTCCTAGACAAATGGCGTAATACCCTTTTCTTATATCGAAAAATCTATTCATGTCATGCCTGTGTTCATTTGATCTTGTCAAGACACTTGCTTGTTTGGTGTTTGTGCTGCAGGATCGTCTAAGATTGGAAGGGCAGTGCATCAGGTATAGTACAATCATCCACTATCAGTTCTCTTTCCCTCTTAGAGATCGGATAATGTTAGTAGCTATCACATTCTGGGATATCTAGAACCTTTGCATAATTCTTAGCACGGCATGCATAATAATTATCTCAATCTATACCGAATCCAGCTTACATGAATTAATGCGATTCTTCTATTACGTACAGCTATTCTGGCAACATTAATAATTATGTCTCACATTGTGATATTAACTAAATAAACTAAAACAAAACGATCGGTTATTATTTCAAATATTATTCACATACTAACATTTCACTATTTATTGATTTTTTTACACTTTAATCCTTGATATTTATCAATAACTATTTCGATCCATATCTTCATTTGTTTATCCATTTTGTTCCATAAATGAAAGAGTAAGGGAGGGGGAAGAGAGAGACAGGAGGAGAGAAAAAGATCGCATGCCAAGCTTATTTAGGCCACTTTAGCCGGTAAAAATCCACTAGATTTTTTTATATTTCGAGAGATGAGTTTGTCCATAGTTGTTTCAAGCTATTAAATAATTAGATGAGGTAGATCGAAACCAAAAAAGAAAACAATGTTCCAATTTAGTTGTGTAATTTATTTTTTTTTTTTGTGCATTAAAATAATTTTTAAGGTTTTAGATATGTTTATTGGCTTTATTTCAATCATTTGAAGGTGTTTGGGGCAAAAATGATGCCGGAATTCAATTTCTAGAGATATGAAACTTGACCTCCAATTTTTCGATGAAGATTCCAACGACCTCGATTCGACGGAAGTTGCAACCTCTTTTTTTTTTTTTTTTTTTTTGATTCTTCAGCAGCAGCCCGAGCCTAATGCGCAGGCTTTTTTTTTTTTTTTCCGTTTCGGTTGCTCGCTTAGGAAATTGGTTTTTATTTTGGTCACTTCTTTCTGTTTTTTTTTTTGTCAATAAAATTTTATTATATTTGATTTTTATCCCTATCATAAATATTAAATTTTTATTATATATGATTTTTATCCCTATAATAAATTTTTTTTTAGCTTTTAGTAAAAATGTATATTCTTTTTTTGTTTTTATTTTTTAATATATTTTTATTTTAGTCATTAAAGTTTTCTCATATTTAATTTTTATCCTTGCTATACTAAAACTAAATAAAGTTTACTATCCTAAAGTTGTTTTTTTTTCTTTTAGTGAAATTTTCTTTTTATTCAAATTTCTAATTTGTGAATTTTTTTTTTTCGTCATTAAATTTAGTAGAAATTTGTTTTTTGTCTTTGTTTTGTAATTGTTTTGTAATTGTTTCTTATTTTGATTGTTAAATTTTTTTTCCTATAAAGAACTATTTTTTACTTTTACTAAAACTTTTTGTTATATTTTGGTTTACTTGTCAAGTTGGAAATTACTTGATCATGCCGTGATTGCTTTTTGCTACCTTTGTGATCATTCCTACTAATGAGAGCAGAAAGAAGCAACTGCTTTTGTTGCTCGTTCTTAAACTTCGGTTGACTCAAGATATAGTTTCTAGTCCGAGTCACATCATCCCCTGTTAGGATTACAACTTAAATTAGACGTCGGAGCATGATCTAATTGGAAATCCGTGGCTCATTACCTGGCCTTTTATGTCAATTTGAGAAAAAAGAGAAAAAAAAAACACAAGTCCCCATTTTTCTGGTTGTCATTACAAAGTCATACTGCTAAAATAGCAGCACCCTTTCATCTTCTTATCTAATTATAGTTGACAGGTTATTTAACTTAAGAAGGGACCAGTCGATTTGCAGTAATTTAGTATTATGAGTTTTAATTTTCTGTGGTAACTAAGTATTATATAATTTCGAACAAGTTTGAGATTTTAATCGTTTCTGTTAAATCCTAATATGAATTAATCTTGATTTATTAAAACTATGCCTTTTCTTCTGTGAATAAAAATTTCATTTTCAACCACAAAGTAGGAGGCCAACTCTGCAACAGCCAACAGAAAGGACACAGACACTGATAAGAACAATGCCAGTGATTCAGCCCAGAACAGCATACCAACATGCCAGGGAAAAAACAAAGTACCAAGTTGGGACAGAACAAGAACCACAAAACTAGAAGGCTGGAACTATCTGAAACAATCAAAAAATGCTAGGAAAAAACTAAACAAAACAGAAACATCAGCATGACAGCATCTCAGAACTAAACTATTTGCTGCAGAAGCTATTCGCAGAGAATCAAATCTGAATTCTTATGTTATGAGAATATGATAAAAGTATCAAAGAATATTCAAGGAACCGATTAACCTTCTTGCATTCTAATGTAGGCCGTAAACCTCAAAACAAAATTTCTTTCTTAGTTTCTCAGGTACAAGGGGGGAAAAAAACATGCAAGAAGAAAGAGAAGGAAAATGCCACCCTGTAAAAACCCAAAAAACTTCATGCGTTCCATTTGTTTACGTCCTTCTCCATCTCTCTTCAAGTAATGAGACACCTTCTCCTCCTATTCCTCCTCCATGTACTGCCATTGCCGATGAAGGCAGTGTCATGCTCAAACTTGCCAACTCCTTAGGCCCTTTACCCACCAGCTGGAACAAAACATCCTCCAATAATTTCTGCATCTCCTGGCATTGGCTAGACTGTGATTCCTCTGGTAGAGTCATTGACATTAATCTCGTAGATCAACACCTAACAGGCACCCTTCCTCCAGAGTTGTCTAATCTCACTGAGCTCAAGTCCCTTCACCTGAAAAAATAACTATCTTTATGGGGAAGTTCCATTCGTGCAAGCTTCTCCAAATTTCAAATTCTTTCCCTGGACAACAATCTTTTTCTTCTAGACTGACTGGTTTATTTCAAGACCTTGACAGTTTGCAAATGTTAAGCATTCAGAACAATAACTTCTCGACTTGCCAATTCCTGTTGATCTTGCTGAATGTACCAGTCTTGAATTTTTCACAGCTAGTCATTCCAATATTACTGGCTCCATTCCTGACATATTTGGCTCCTTCTCAAACCTGCAGAAACCGCAACTTAGCTCAACAACCAGACATGTTCTTTGCCATTTCCTATGGCAAAATCTAAGATCTGGAACCTGTGGTTAAACAATCAGATGGAAGGATTAATTGGTACAATTGATGTGCTCACATCGATGAGCCAGCTGTCCCTGCAGGTGGAGCTACAAGGTAACAAGTTTACGTTCCAATTCCAAATTTGTCAAATTGCCACAAAATTTCCTTAGAGCTGGCGGATAAATCAGCTTACTGGGGTAGTGCCTCCTTCATTGTTTTCACTTCCTATTTAGTTCCGTGTTTCTCTGTCAAAGCCCTGTACCAGTTTTCTGATCCAGTGACCGAGTAGATGATGACATCAGGAGGAACAATACTGTGCAGGTGTTGGGGTTTCTTGTGACCAACAGGTAACAACATTGCTTGAAATTGCAGGGTCAGGTAGATCTGTCTGATAATTGGAAAGGGAATAATGCCTGTGATTGGGCTTATTGGACCTGTGATGCACAGAGGAAGAATATTATCTCTTTGAATTTGACAATGAATCATTTAGCAGGGACAATCTCCTGAATTTGTGAACCTCACATCTTTTACAATTTTGCTTCTGAATAACATTAATTTGACAGGTCCTATTCCTGACAGCCTGACCAAACTAATGCAACTTAATATACTAGATGTTTCCAATAATAATTTGTCAGGGAAAGGTTCTGAAATTTAGGCCACCTCTGAAATTGACAATTAAGCCTGGGAAAGCTCTGCTGGAGATGGGTATGGACACTGGAGTCAGAAAAAATCCTGATACAAATGCTACAGAAGAAACTGGTGCTAAGAAAGCAGGAGGTGTATGTTTACCCGTCATGCTGTTCTTGCCATTCTTATTGTAGTTTTAGCAGACAATAGTAATTATTAGTTAATAATGGGATGCTAGCAAGAATTGAATGCTTTTAATGAGATTCCTAGTTGCGGAGATAAAGATAGTAAAATTCTAATGGCAGAAACAGGCCTCAGTGTCTGGATAAAAGGTTGAGAGATTCATTATGAACCATCAATCTTTTACACCAAAACACTATTCAAATTCACTCATTCATCCATAAACTAGGTCGGGGGGTGTTGGGAGGGTGGAGGTGGGTGGGTTGGTGGCGTTTTTGATTTGGTATACAATGGAAAATTACCAATCGTCTTGTGGCAAAAAAGTCCTAACCCAATTCATTTGAAAATGCTAGGATTGTTGATGTCTAGATTGAGGAAGAAGACAAGGCCTTTTTGTTTCTCATCTCTATTCCCAATTCATATGAAAATCTAGTGAAGACGCTATTGTATGGTAAGGATACAGTGAATTTAGATCAAGTATAGGCTGCACTTTTATCTCATGAGACGCATAGAAAGTCAAATCAAGAAAAAGAATACAACTTTGTACTAGTGATTAGAAGGGAGTACTGGAAAGGAAGATAAGCTGAAAGAGGATTTCAGAGTGGCAAGTCTAAGTCCTAGTCCAGTGAAAAGGGCAATCAACGTTACCTGTGCAAAGAATTTGGTTACGTCAAGCGAAATTGTCCTCGAAAAAAAAGGATGTATAAATCTAATGATGGTGGAAATTCTTTGAAGGTGGTAGAAGACTATAAAGATGTTCTTACATTCTCCCAATGTGTTGAAATTTTTTCTAATGATAGTTGGATATTAGATTCTGTAAGTAGATTACATGTGTTTCAAGAAAGAATATCTTGATGAGTTTCAAGAAGAAAAGATTGACACCGTGTCTATAGGTGATTTGTCGACTAGCGATGCTATTGTTCTTGGAACAGTAAAATTAAAAATATTTGGAGTGGCCCTTACTTTGGGTGGTGTAACTTATGTCCCAAAGATGCGCATGAATCTAATATTGTTGAGCTAGTAGACTCCAAAGTACACAATTATTCTATTGTAGGTGGAGTCTTAAAAGAAGTCACGCATGGCAGCACAATCCTGATGAAAGAGAAACATGCAATGGTTGATATCATCTGATTGGAAGACCTCGAGGAGTGGTTGGGAATGGAGTGCATGAAATAGTAGCTACCTGAAAAGAGTCTCTTTGGTGATTGGAAAAGAGAGGAGAATTAATGATGGGTGCAAGAGGGACAACTAGACATATAGCTACAGAAGTATTCTGCAGAAACTTTGGTGGAGTTTCTTACAAGTCAGATGTGTACAGTTATGGAATGATAGTTCTCGAAATTGTTGAAGGAAGAAAAAATATTGATGACAGAGCACCTGGCACCTGCAAAATCTACTTTCCTGATTGGATTTATAGGCATCTTGAATCAGGAGAAGTTTTGAAACTTTACGGTACCATGATAGATGAGGGGGATGAGGTGGTAAGATAGATGTTATTAGTGGGCTTGTCGAGCATTCAAACCAAATCAGCAGATAGACCATAACGACGAAGGTAGTGGAGATGTTGGAAGGCAGTCTTCATTCCTTGAAAATTCCACCAAAGCCCTTTTTATCCTCCACAAGATTATCTCAAGAGCACACTTCTACTACATCCAGTGACAAAGGGATGAGGACACGGCTGCCATTAGATTAAGGGTCACTGATGAGAGGCTCAATGTTATGATTGCTACTTGATTCCCCATTTTTTCTCTTTTTTGGTTGGGGGTGAAATTTTAGTTACCTGATTTCTACAGATGACGTGTATAACTCATAGCATCTTCATGTAATTTTATAATGTGGAAAAGTGTCTGATATCTTACTTCCTTGCCAGTGTTTTACAGATTCACGAAATAATTCAGAAGACACTGAAATTAAAGCTTTTATTGTAGATCATGCTTCTAACAAAAGAAGAGATGACACTTCTATGACTAAACGTCAAATTTTCATCAAGTTTTCATTCAAAGCTATTTTGCTTAGTTATACTGCAATAACGTTGAAGTAAACTGACACTTCCCACAAAAATGTTGTCTAATTCTACAGCAAAATAATTCTTTTCAATGCCACATGAATTTATAATTCACTCATGGAAAGAACCAACATGCTTTATCATGGTAAAATATTGTGCCACTCAAATCTTTTAAATGCAAAACCTAAAAGTAAATTTATGAGTAATATATTATAAAGAAGCGAAAGGCAAAAGGGGAGAGGAGGGGTTAAAATTTTTCTCCAGCAAAAGGGAAAAAAATAATTGAAGTATTAAGTACTGAGTGCTAACACCTTGCAATTGCCTCAAAAGTTGCATCAGTATCTAAATAAGGTTAGACTATAATCACTAATCTTTTTGTTCCTAGAATTACACAGACCACTCCTATTGTGACTGTCTGATTATAGAGAGAAGAGACCTCATCAAACTTTCAAGGGTCATCTGATGCAAAAACCAACTCCAAAACATGGTCAAAACTGGATCTAGCTTGGTCTTATGTGCCAAGAATTATCAGTAACTTAACAGAGAAGGTGATCTTCATTGGTTAAACTGCCTCTTAGCATTTACTGAGGATATCGCATATGCTTCAGTGAAGGCAAACTTGCCAACAGATGATGCCATCAATAAATGCACACCACCTACTTTGGTCTCAACTTCAAACAATCTAGCTTACCCTTTAACTGTCCCAAAATCAAATTGTTAATGAAATATGCCATCAATTCATGAGATCGTACCCAGATCACCTTGATAATGGGTATGATACAGCATTACCTGTGGTAACTAGCAAATCAACCTAGCTTGTCTGAAAGATATAACCAAGCTATAATTCAAATGGTGATGCATGTGTAAAGATAGGAGCATAGACCATCAAGAATTGAGCAGAAAATCAACTTCATTAACAAGCTTCCATGATGCCAAGAAAGTTTACATTGCTCTCCCATGTAAGAGTGGAGGACCATGATGAATCACTATGTGATGCACTATTAGCTCCTAGTTTCTCACTTTTAAGATACTTTTCCTTGGATTCTTGAAGCTCTGCCTGCAAAATTCATCAGTAAATAATCAGTTAGGTCAAAAAAATAAGCTATTTTATTCGACCTCTTTATTCTGTTTCTTATTTTTTAGGGATCTGTCTTCATTGCAGACAAGACCAAGCTCCTGACAAAACAATTTTAAGCTGATCCACTAGAATAATTGAAATATATTCATAGGGAAGAGAAGGATTAAAATATACCAGCTTGAGTTTCAAATCTGAGATTGGACGCTCTCTCTGATTTGCAAAATACTTCAATGACTGAGACCCACCACCAATCCACCACCAAATGAGAGAGAGAGAGAGAAGAACAAGCAAAAGGAGAGGGAAGAAGAAAGTCAGGCTGAATTCCATCAAGTAAAAAATGACAGTACAGGTTGGTGCAAAGCTAATGACAAAACAAACGTAAGTGAAATGGTAGCAAGAAGAGGAGTTCCACTTACCCCAACTCTCTGAATTAGAAGAGATCTGTTTCAGTGCTTCTCTTTTAGTTAAAAGATTACTTTTGAGAAGCCTTTGAGGGCGTTTGTAATTTTTTCCACAGTAAATAATTATAGCATGACCTTCTTTTAGCTTGTCCACTGAAACTAGGATCCCATCACTTTCTGCTTCAAGCAATTTTGCAGTATGAATGACCTGGGCAAAAACTCTCTGCATTGTGATCACCTTCACCACTTCTCTGTGCTTCCAGTGCTGATGCAAACCTTCCATAACACCCTCAAAGACCCCACGCCTCCCTGAACCCACCATCAAAACAAAAAATCTGTAACCACACACACACAGAAGGGAAGGGTGGACCAAGCAGCAAAATAATGTTGTTTGTGGATGGAAAGATTTTAGTTCAATTCCCCAACCGCATTCAATGATGGAATTAGAATTCTATTTTTATATGATGATCAAGCACCAAACTTGATTAACCAACCATATAGTCTGACTTGGCTTTTCAAACAACAACACGGAGCACTGGCTTTACTGTTTTCCATCACTAACCCCTTCCCCTTTTTTGGGATAAATTATTCCATGAGCCCACTCACATAAATTATGCGCCACCCACGATAAAATGATTGTGAGACCCACCACTTTGTGAGTGTGAGATCATGGCGAGCTGGGCACATGTAATGAATTCTAATTTTCTAGAACAACATAAGCCCTACCTTTATCTCACTTTCACATGTAATAAATTTTCATCGTGGGTGTCATGTTTATGTCAGAGGGAGGAGTACAACTCCTGCATACCTAATAATTTCCCAAGCAACAACACTTGAGGAAATTCTATTTCAGCATATGAATGTCAATGCCCTAACTGCTATTCCTCAAAAGTGAGCTTCTTCACACAAGGGGTTTTTTTTTTTTTTTTTTTTTATGGACTAAGGATAAGATAAAACAAAGGAAGAAAAAGGAAACCAAGCAACTCATCTAACATGCAGATCAAACAAAAGGAACAGAAGAAAACAGTGATAACCAATGACTCAGATGTTGAATATCTAACTGAGAGAAAACAACACAGAAAGATATTGCATGATAGAGCTATCTGGAAGCATTAAAAAAAAAAAAAAAATCAGCAAAATTTCAGGGTTCATAATGATAAGCTTTTCTTTACCAAGCACTAAGCCACCACGTACCTTCAGTCCTATCTTCCGGAAGCATTCTATTTCCTCTTCTGTCATTATTCCTTGGTCTGCATCCGGCTCGGTAGTTACCCATGCAGAATTAAACTTCAATAAGTCCATCGCTGGCTTCTCTATCTTACTTTTAAGCTGAAAAATCCATGAGGATTATTTTCGAAACCAGCAGTGCAGTGATCATAATAAGATAATGAATTGAATCTTACAATGAAAAGCCTGTGCGCTTCTTTTCTCAATTCCCGCTCTAATTTTTCCTTCTCAGCTTCTAATTGAATTTCAGAATCCGCTTTTACTTTTGCCATCTTCTGAAATTTGATTTGGATGTCCTGGAATTCATATAAAATTCCGCTTCTGCTTGTGTTCAATGGCTCACCAGCCATATAAAAATTTTCAATTGCTTTCATCCGTGCACCTTCTTCATTGGTTTGGCATTTTCTGAGTGCAATTTCTCTGTCCACAATTACATTTGCAACTTGGCCCGGAAGAAAGTCTTTGCCTCTATATAGTATTATAAAAAACTTATTCCGAAGTAGCAGAACTCCTCCAGTGAGACTCTGCATTTACAACATTAATATTAGAAAAATCTACCTCTAAGATGCCGTTTATAGATAAGTGTGGCAAGTGCATGTTCAAGGCAACACTTGAAAGCATGGCCCTGTCGGGCATGGGCCAATCTTCAACTCCTCGGACACCAAGTTTTGAATTAATGATGCAAATAGTACAGGTGATCCTCTCTACTCAGATCACTATAGCAGTGTCCTGGCAGCTAATGATACCAGAAGATGTCATGCTTAAGTCAGTATGAAGTTCAACTGAAGACGACCAAAAATGGTCCACCTTACCCAAAAATCAAGGCAAACAAAGCAGATTGAAGAAAAATAGGACAACTTTCACATAGACATAACATAAACAAATCATAATCCAGCAAGTCAGTTAGTACGATATATGTGGCTTAATAGGTTTCTGGGTACCAAACTCACCTTGAGCTCATCTGCCATTTGCTCATTGTTAGTATTCGGAACTCCCCACTTCACAGCAATTTTAGCTATGATAGTCTTTTCCCACAATTTTAAGATGGAAGCAGCTAGGCCTTGAAGTCTTCTATTCCTCCCTACAGAAAATAAGCAAAAAATATACAAACCTTCATGATGCAAAACATTCCTGCATGCTCTGCTTTAAAAGCTAAACAAAAGGGAACTACTAACAAGAACGTTTACTTCAACAATAGAAAACTCCTACATGTACCTTCTCAACCGCGCTAATCAGCTAACTCAGCTTTAAAAGCTTAACTCAACTTTAAAAGCTGACAGCAATAACTCTGCTTAGTCTAGCATCACTTTGCTTGCTCTAGCATCAGTTTATTCCGCTTCAAAAAAAGCTCAAATTCAGTTACCTCCACTTCTGTTCCATCTCTGCCTTCTTCGTTCCGTGCGCAAAATTCAATCGATTCCTCACAACATAATCATCCATCCTTCCAACACTCAAACTGCCATAAAACTTCGACACTTTTTTGACACTTGAATCTCTCTGCATCTCAACTTCCATTCTGTCCTCCTCTCCCACATCCATATACAACTCAGATTCCTCGGACTTTCAGACTCAGATTCCTTGTTCTTAACTCGTTTCAAGTCTTTCTAATCGCGATCGGCTCCATTGTCGTTGATTTCCTCGGAGTGGCAGCTACAGTCTATTCGTACCTGGATTCCTTGGCTGATGCCGCCTCCTTGGTTGGGATCAACCCCATGGGTTTATAGAGATTATAGAATTGACTGTCTAGTTGGATCCGGGTTCAGATTCGGATTTTGACTCCGACCCATATTCTGATTCGAACTCAGATTCAGATTGTTGAGTTGTGGGTTCGGGTTTTTTATGAGTTCGAGTGGTTTTGGTTTATGGTTGAGGAAGAGAGGGGTGACTTTGTTCAGATACCTCTTCCTCTTCCTCTTCACTGCCTCCTTTGGTTTATAGAAGACAGATTATAGACTTGACTAAATTTTTGAGTGGTGGGTTCGAGTTTTTTACCGGTTCGAGTGGTTTTGGTTTGTGGTTGAGGAAGAGAGGGATGACTTCGTTCATCATCAGATACATCTTCTTTTTCACCACTGGAAGTTTCTTCCTCTTCTTCTTCGGAGCTAGAAGCAGAAGGTGGGTCTTCAAAGGGAGGGGGCGTTTTGGTGCCATTGAGAAACAGAGAGAGTTAGGGTTACCAAAGAGGGTTTGAGTATAAGCGGCAGGGTGGGTCTTTGAGAGAAGAAAGAAAGCCATCTCTACGAATGTTGTTACCATCGTAATGGATGGTAAATAATTAACATTGAAACCCATCGTACTGGGCGACATCGTTATACGCAAAAAAAGGAGAATTGTTGCTGTTTTGCATTAAAACGACGCTGTTTTTCGATAAAAAATTAAAAGGATTTAAATACCATATCATATGGTATTATAAATTTAAGATAATATTAAAATATGATAATAAATAATCTAATAATTTTTATTTTCCAAAGTTTGATCTTGATTTCAAACATTTAGGAAATATCTATAATTGAAAAAAAAAACAAAAACAAAATAAGAACATATAAATTATTAAATGTTAATAAGGATGACAAATTTACCTATCCTGACAAGTGCGTATCAAACAAAATCCGACTTGATTAGGGGTGGGTATGAGGGCATTTACATAAAATAGATAAATGAGGATGCAAATCGAGAAAATGTCTCTCGTTCCATGAGAAACCCAAAACCAGTTAATCACTCAAAAAATTAAAGATTTAACAAAAAAAGCCTTCTAAATTTAAGATAATATTACAAAATTAAATATCCTCTTATACCTAAAATGCCCTTAATTACTATTAGAAAAGATAGTTAAATTAAGAAATTAAAAAACTATATATATATATATATAAACAGGACATTATTTTTTTAGTACATGAACAATAAGAATTTTATTATTTACTTTCATTCATTTTTTTTTTAGTTTCCTTTTCAATATTTTTCTCTATTTTTTAAATCTTCTTAGTTTAACCTTTTTTTTTTTTTCTAAATAGTAATTAAGAGCAATTTAGATATAATAGGGGATTTATGTCAATTCTTCTTAGTTTAACCTTTTTTTCTCTAAATAGTAACTAAGAGCAATTTAGATATAATAGGGGATTTATGTCAAATCTTCAAAATTTTGGTTAATTTGTATATTTTTATGATACCTCATGAAGGTTATTGTAATTTACCTATATTATTTTTGGTCTTTTCTCATTTCTTGAACAACTAATCTTTTAAAATAAATTTATCATGAAGTTTAGTTTTAAATTATTTATATTTATCAATGGGTTTTTCCCATACATGGTCTTTTTATTCTTTGATTTGTTTTGATTGAAACTATGTATTTTTTTCGTATCGATTGAGTCTATCCATACTTTATTTTATTTTGTTTTTGTCCTTCTATTATAATTATGTTAGTTGGGACCTGATGTGTCATTGATGTGATATGTCTATTTTTGAAAGCATGACACGTGTCATACTTGAGATCTCAATAAGTGGATTCAATCAAAATAATTTAAAAAATATAATACTTCAATTAAAATAATTCAAAAAATATATAGATCAAATTATTATTATTATTTAAATTTTCATGTTATTCTGTTTTTAAGATATCATCTTGAATTCTACAAAACGTATCATGTATATATATATATGCCATCACATAAAACTTTGAAGAGTATTTGAAAAAAAAATTATTGTAAGAATTTAGAAATAATAAAGCACATACAAAAGGAACCTAGCATGCAATTAAAAAATAATAATAATAAAGTTCAAATATATTTTTCAAAATTAAAATAAAAACAACAGTAATGCTGACTAACGAGTTAATTATCTATATTAAAGAAAAAACATGTGGTGCAATCTCAAAGTTATTATTATTATTATTATTATTATTTAGAAAGAGAGCAAATTTATTTTTCACTTTGTATTGGTCAAATGTTCAAAATTTCTTACTTTCATTTTATGGAGGATTAGATCCATTAATTAGGATTATGTAATTGATCAATATTGCACACCATCATAATTTTAATAATTGCATGTTAGATTTTTTTTCTTTTCTATGTATTATTTTTCATTTTAACTTATTATAGTATTTTTTAAAAATATTTCAAAATGTTACCATAATGGATCTTATCTATGATATTTCATGCATTTATTATGAAGTATTTTATGTAAAAAAAAAAAACATGAAAATAAAAGAAAAAATTAGATTATTGTATTTTTTGAATTGTTTTGATTGAAGTCTCATACTCTTTGAATTTTTTTTCATTGATTATCTCACATGTAACATGCGTCACGTTTTCAAAAGTGAATGTGTCTCATCAGCTCACATTTAATGACATTATAATAGAGAGATGGAAACAAAATAAAATAAAGAATAAATGGATTCAATCAATGAAAAAAAAAAGGGGGGGACAAAATCTATTTATGAATGTATTAGATATCCGATTTTGGTCTTGCAAACCAATGCAACAGCAAAGAAAGCAAGGTTTTGAAATATTTCTTAGGAATATTTTTTATTTTGATAGATAAAAAATATATTCAATTAATTAATCATTTTAAAAAAATCCAATTAGAAGGAGGTGTTTAATCAATTTATATTAGAAGAATATTTAATTTTAGTTCATGAATATTTATAAAAATAGAAAAGGTAACCATCGATGATGGGAAAAAATTATTTTGATTAAATAATAATTAATGAAAAAACCTAGTCCAAAAAAAAAAAGATAAGGACCTTTTAGTAATATTCATGAAAATTAGGGATTATTTTATATAAATTAATAATTTAGATGACCAAAATGTAAACTACTGATAAATTAATAAAAAATAACTTTTTTTTTAATTTGAAAAACGATACTCTTTTGGTTTTACTATAGCAGAGGCTTAGCTACAATAAAACCATATTCTCTGTATAATAGTTACAACTTTTCAATGGCTTTTGTTAATAGATTCCATCTTTCGTTGTATTTTTGAATCCTCCTATATATCTGGATTAGATAATATGTTTGTTGGAGGGGGATTAATTAATCATCTTAATGTACTTTATTTCCGGTTTCATTTGAGCGACTTGTATTACACTAGAAGAGAAGGATTGTCCAGTGGCTATGCATTGACCTGTTGGAGGAAGGATGCAGAAAGCAATGAAAAGATCGACAGATTTTTTGTGAACGATTATTCTCTTACTCCGAAAAGATATCCATGTTCAGATGTCAAGAAAATGACCTCATAACATTCTTCTCGATGAAGATCTTTGTCCTGAGATATCCGATTTTGGTCTTGCAAACCAATGCAACAGCAAAGAAAGCAAGGTTTTGATAACACGTTCAAGAGGCACGGCTAAATATAGCTCCAGAAATATTCTGTAGAAATTCCCGTAGAGTTTCTTACAAGTCTGACGTGTGTAGTTATGGAATGATGGTTATTGAAATGGTAGGAGGAAGAAAATATTTGGACACTGAAGTATCTTAACCCAGTGAGATATGCTTTCCAGATTGGATTTACAATCATTTAGACTCTGGAGAGTTTCCTTGGCTTCATGGGGTTAACATAGACGAAGATAAAAGAGATGGGGCGAGAAAGATGATCTTAGTGAGTCTTTGGTGCATTCAGACCAATCCCTCCAATAGACCAACAATGAAATGGATGTTAGACATGTTGAAAGGAAGTGTTCAATCCTTCCCTTTTGCATGTCCTCCTACAGAGTTCCTTCAAGGATAATTTTGGACAACAACATCATCACCACTAGGCCGAGGTTCTGCTATTTTATAATAGTGTTCTATTACGAGGAACATTTTCAAATTGTGAGGTGAATCAAATTTTTTAAAGATTTATCATTCATGATTCTTTGTAACTGAAAGTAAAATGCAAGTTATGAATCATATGATAGCTCACTCGCGAGAATCTTGTGAGCCTGAATGTTCTCTATCGCTTATTTTCTCTAACTTCTTTCGCCGACTCAACTGCATTAACTCTTCTTCTTGCTCCCTTCATTACTAAGCCTCAAATGTCTTGTCTTATCAGCATTATCACAATGCCAGTGATTCAGCACAGAACAGCATACCAAAATGCCAGGGAAAAAACAAAGTACCACGTTGGGACAGAACAAGTACCACAAAACTAGAAGGCTGGAACTATCTGAAACAATCAAAAAATGCTGGGACAAAACTAAACAAAACAGAAACATCAGCATGACAGCATCTCAGAACTAAACTATTTGCTGCAGAAGCTATTCGCAGAGAATCAAATCTGAATTCTTATGTTATGAGAATATCATAAAAGTATCAAAGAATATTCAAGGAACCGATTAACCTTCTTGCATTCTAATGTAGGCCGTAAACCTCAAAACAAAATTTCTTTCTTAGTTTCTCAGGTGCAAGGAAAAAAAAAACACGCAAGAAGAAAGAGAGAGAAAATGCCATCCTCTAAAAACCCAAAAAACTTCATGTGGTCCATTTGTTTACATCCTTCTCCATCTCTCTTCGAGTAATGAGACACCTTCTCCTCCTATTCCTCCTCCATGTACTGCCATTGCCAATGAAGCCAGTGTCATGCTCAAACTTGCCAACACCTTAGGCCCCTTACCCACCAGCTGGAACAAAACATCCTCCAATAATTTCTGCATCTCCTGGCATTGGCTAGACTGTGATTCCTCTGGTAGAGTCATTGACATTAATCTCGTAGATCAACACCTGACAGGCACCCTTCCTCCAGAGTTGTCTAATCTCACTGAGCTCAAGTCCCTTCACCTAAAAAGTAACCATCTTTACGGGGAAGTTCCATTCGTGCAAACTTCTCCAAATTTCAAATTCTTTCCCTGGACAACAATCTTTTTTTCTAGACTGACTGGTTTATTTCAAGACCTTGCCAGTTTGCAAATGTTAAGCATTAAGAACAATAACTTCTCGATTTGGCAATTCCAGTTGATCTTGCTGAATGTACCGGTCCTGAATTTTTCACAGCTAGTCATTCCAATATTACTGGCTCCATTCCTGACATATTGGGCTCCTTCTCAAACTTGCAGAAAATGCAACTTAGCTCAACAACCGGACAGGTTCTTTGCCATTTCCTATGGCAAAATCTAAGATCTGGAAATTGTGGTTAAACAATCAGATGGAAGGATTAATTGGTACAATTGATGTGCTCACATCGATGAGCCAGCTGTCCCTGCAGGTGGAGCTACAAGGTAATAAGTTCACGTGCCAATTCCAGATTTGGCAAATTGCCACAATATCTCCTTAGAGCTGAGAGACAATCAGCTACTGGGGTAGTGCCTCCTTCATTCTTTTCACTTCCTATTTTGTTCCATGTTTCTCCGTCAAAGCCCTGTACCAGTTTTCGGATCCAGTGTCCGAGTAGATGATGACATCAGCAGGAACAATACTGTGCAGGTGTTGGGGTTTCTTGTGATCAACAGGTAACAACATTGCTTGAAATTGCAGGGGCTTTAGGGTATCCAGTGAATCTGTCTGATAATTGGAAGGGGAATAATGCCTGTGATTGGGCTTATTGGACCTGTGATGCACAGAGGAAGAATATTATCTCTTTGAATTTGACAAGGAATCATTTAGCAGGGACAATCTCCTGAATTTGTGAACCTCACATCTTTTACAATTTTGCTTCTGAATAACATTAATTTGACAGGTCCTATTCCTGACAGCCTGACCAAACTAATGCAACTTAATATACTAGATGTTTCCAATAATAATTTGTCAGGGAAGGTTCTGAAATTTAGGCCACCTCTGAAATTGACAATTAAGCCTGGGAAAGCTCTGCTGGAGATGGGTATGGACACTGGAGTCGGAAAAAATCCTGATACGAATGCTACAGAAGAAACTGATGCTAAGAAAGCAGGCGTATGTTTACCAGTTATGCTGTTCTTGCCATTCTTATTGTAGTTTTATCCGACAATAGTAATTATTAGTTAATAATGGGATGCTAGCAGAATTGAATGCTTTTAATGAGATTCCTAGCTGCGGAGATAAAGATAGTAAAATTCTAATGGCAGAAACAGGCCCTCAATGTCTGGATAAATATTAGATATTCTGAAAATCTTTGAATATTTAATATGTTTTTACAATCGAATGAGCAATCGATACATACATGGTATATCTAAAGAGAGAGGATTCAGAACACACAGATCAATTCTCATTCTTTTATCATCTACAGCTGTCCTGCCAATGATGATGACTGTCTCCAGTATTGTGATATATTACACTAGAAGTAAAGGAATGTCAACCGGAAATGTGATCACCTTTTGGAGGAAGAACACCATACGGGATGAAAAAGTTGAGAGATTCATTATGAGCCATCAATCTCTTACTCCAAAACAATATTCAAATTCACTCATTCATCCATAAACTAGGCCAGGGGGTGTTGGGGGGTGGGGGTGGGTGGGTGGGTTGGTGGCGTTTTTGATTTGGTAGTGTATACAACAGAAAATTACCAATCGTCTTGTGGCAAAAAAAGTCGTAACCAAGTCCAAAGGTGAAGAAGAAGAATTTATGAATGAAGTAGCAAGCATTAGCAAGACATCCCATGTAAATATTAGTTACCCTTTTAGGTTTTTGCTATCAAAGGACTAAAAGAGCTTTGATCTATGAGTACGTGCCCAATGGATCTTTGGATAAATTCATGTGTTACACAAATGAACTGCGATTTCGAATGGAGAAGCTATGAAATTGCAATTGGCATTGCAAGAGGCCTCGAGTATTTACACCGTGGATGCAATGCTAGGATTGTTGATGTCTAGACTGAGGAAGAAGACAAGGCCTTTTTGTTTCTTATCTCTATTCCCAATTCATTTGAAAATCTAGCGATGACACTATTGTATGGTAAGGATACAATGAATGTAGACCAAGTATAGGCTGCACTTTTATCTCATGAGACGCGAGAAAGTCAAATCAAGAAAAAGAATACAACTTTGTACTAGTGACTAGAAGGGAGTATTGGAAAGGAAGATCAGCTGAAAGAGGATTTCAGAGTGGCAGGTCTAAGTCCAAGTCCAGTGAAAAGGGCAATCAATGTTACCTGTGCAACGAATTTGGTCACGTGAAGCAAGACTGTCGTCGAAAAAAGAGGATGGATAAATCTAATGATGGTGGAAATCCTTTGATGGTGGTAGAAGACTATAGAGATGTTCTTACATTCTCCGAATGTGTTGACATTTTTTTCTCATGATAGTTGGATATTAGATTCTGCATGTAGGTTACATGTGTTTCAAGAAAGAATATCTTGATGAGTTCCGAGAAGAAAAGATTGGCACCGTGTCTTTAGGTGATTTGTCGACTAGTGATGTTATGGGTCTTGGAATGGTAAAAATAAAAAAAATTTGATGGAGTGGTCCTTACTTTGGGTGGTGTGGCTTATGTCCGAAAGATGCACATAAATCTAATATGGTTGAGCTAGTTAGACTCCGAAGTATAAAATTATTCTATTGTAGGTGGAGTCTTAAAATTCACGCATGGCAGCACAATCCTGATGAAAGAGAAATATGCAATGGTTGATATCATCTGATTGGAAGACCTCGTGTAGTGGTTGGGAATGGAGTGCAGGAAATAGTAGCTACCTGAAAAGAGTCTCTTTGGTGATTGGAAAAGAGATGAGAATTAAAGATGGGTGCAAGAGGGACAACTAGATATATAGCTCCATGAGTATTCTGCAGAAACTTTGGTGGAGTTTCTTACAAGTCAGATGTGTACAGTTATGGAATGATGGTTCTTGAAATTGTTGAAGGAAGAAAAACTATTGATGACAGAGCATCTGGCACCCGCGAAATCTACTTTCCTGATCAGATTTATAGGCATCTCGAATCAGGAGAAGTTTTGAAACTTTACAGTACTATGACAGATGAGGAGGAAGAGGTGGTAAGATAGATGTTATTAGTGGGCTTGTGGAGCATTCAAACCAAATCAGCAGATAGACCATAACGACAAAGGTAGTGGGGATGTTGGAAGGCACTCTTCATTCCTTGCAAATTCCACCAAAGCCCTTTTTATCCTCCACAAGATTATCTCAAGAGCACACTTCTACTATATCCAGTAACAAAGGGAAGAGGACACGGCTGCCATCAGAGTAAGGGTCACTAATGACAGGCTCAATGTTATGATTGCTACTTGATTCCCCATTTCCTCTCTTTTTTTGTTGGGGGTGAAATTTTGGTTACCTGATTTCTACAGATGACGTGTATAACTCATAGCATCTTCATGTAATTTTATAATGTGGAAAAGTGTCTGATATCTCACTTCCTCGCCAGTGTTTTACAGATTCACAAAATAGTTCAGAAGACACTGAAATTAAAGCTTTTACTGTAGATCATGCTTATAACAAAAGAAGAGATGACACTTCTCTGACTAAACGTCAAATTTTCATCAAGTTTTCATTCAAAGCTATTTTGCTTAGTTATACTGCAATAACGTGGAAGTAAACTGACACTTTCCACAAAAATGTTGTCTAATTCTACACATGGGTAGGCCACAAATGCCACACCTAAGTAATTCTTTTCACTTTACTCACCTCATGGTCCTATCATTCTTCAAAATTGCATTTCAGAAGACTTTAATTTAAAGAAAACAGGCCTACCAATTATGAATTTATAATTCACTCATGGAAAGAACCAACATGCTTTATCATGGTAAAATATTGTGCCACTCAAATCTTTTAAATGCAAAACCTAAAAGTACATTTATGAGCAATATATTATAAAGAAGCGAAAGGCAAAAGGGGAGAGGAGGGGTTAAAATTTTTCTCCAGCAAAAGGGAAAAAAATAATTGAAGTATCAAGTACTGAGTGCTAACACCTTGCAATTGCCTCAAAAGTTGCATCAGTATCTAAATAAGGTTAGACTATAATCACTAATCTTTTTGTTTCTAGAATTACACAGACCACTCCTATTGTGAGTGTCTGATTATAGAGAGAAGAGACCTCCTCAAACTTTCAAGGGTCATCTGCTGCAAAAACCAACTCCAAAACATGGTCAAAACTGGATCTAGCTTGGTCTTATGTGCCAAGAATTATCAGTAACTTAACAGAGAAGGTGATCTTCATTGGTTAAACTGCCTCTTAGCATTTACTGAGGATATAGCATATGCTTCAGTGAAGGCAAACTTGCCAACAGATGATGCCATCAATAAATGCACACCACCTACTTTGGTCTCAACTTCAAACCATCTAGCTTACCCTATAATTGTCCCAAAATCAAATTGTTAATGAAATATGCCATCAATTCATGAGATTGTACCCAGATCGCCTTGATAATGGGTATGAGAAAGCATTACCTGTGGTAACAAGCAAATCAACCTAGCTGGTCCGAAAGATCTAACTAATCTATAATTCAAATGGTGATGCACATGTGTAAAGATAGGAGCATAGACCATCAAGAATTGAGCAGAAAATCAACTTCATTAACAAACTTCCATGATGCCAAGAATGTTTACCTGGATTTGTCAAGTAGTATTGTGATGAAAATATGGGGAATTCCTCTCCTATGGGAAATCTACATTGCTATCCCAAATATGAGTGGAGGATTATGACGAATCACTATGTGATGCACTATTAGCTCATAGTTTCTCACTTTTAAGATACTTTTCCTTGGATTCTTGAAGCTCTGCCTGCACAATTCATCAGTAAATAATCAGTTAGGTCAAAAACATAAGCTAATATATTCGACCTTTTTATTCTGTTTCATATTTTTTAGGGATCTGTCTTCATTGCAGACAAGACCAAGCTCCTGACAAAACAATTTTAAGCTGATCCACTAGAATAATTGAAATATATTCACAGGGAAGAGAAAGATTAAAAAATACCAGCTTGAGTTTCAAATCTGAGATTGCATGCTCTCTCTGATTTGCAAAATACTTCAATGACTGAGACCCACCACCAATCCACCCCCGAGAGAGAGAGAGAGAAGAACCAGCAAAAGAAGAGGGAAGAAGAAAGTCAGGCTGAATTCCATCAAGTAAGAAATGACAGTACAGGTTGGTGCGAAGCTAATCACAAAACAAACATAAGTGACATGGTAGCAAGAAGAGAAGAGTTCCACTTACCCCAACTCTCTGAATTAGAAGAGATCTCTTCAGTGCTTCTCTTTTAGTTAAAAGATTCCTTTTGAGAAGCCTTTGTGGGCGTTTGTAATTTTTTCCACGGTAAATAATTATAGCATGACCTTCTTTTAGCTTGTCCACTGAAACTAGGATCCCATCACTTTCTGCTTCAAGCAATTTTGCAGTATGAATGACCTGGGCAAAAACTCTCTGCATTGTGATCACCTTCACCACTTCTCTGTGCTTCCAGTGCTGATGCAAACCTTCCATAACACCCTCAAAGACCCCACGCCTCCCTGAACCCACCATCAAAACAAAAACTCTGTAACCACACACACACAGAAGGGAAGGGTGGACCAAGCAGCAAAATAATGTTATTTGTGGATGGAAAGATTTTAGTTCAATCTCCGAACCGCATTCAATGATGGAATTAGAATTCTATTTTTATATGATGATCAAGCACCAAGCTTGATTAACCAACCATATAGTCTGACTTGGCTTTTCAAACAACAACACGGAGCACTGGCTTTACTGTTTTCCATCACTAACCCCTTCCCCTTTTTTGGGATAAATTATTGCGTGAGTCCACTCACATAAATTATGCGCCACCCACCATAAAATGATTGTGAGATCCACCACCTTGTGAGTGTGAGATCATGGCGAGCTGGGCACATGTAATGAATTCTAATTTTCTAGAACAACATAAGCCCTACCTTTATCTCACTTTCACATGTAATAAATTTTCATCGTGGGTGCCATGTTTATGTCAGAGGGAGGAGTACAACTCCTGCATACCTAATAATTTCCCAAGCAACAACACTTGAGGAAATTCTATTTCAGCATATGAATGTCAATGCCCCAACTGCTATTCCTCAAAAGTGAGCTTCTTCACACAATGTTTTTTTTTATTATTGACTAAGGATAAGATAAAATAAAGGAAGAAAAAGGAAACCAAGCAACTCATCTAACATGCAGATCAAACAAAAGGAACAGAAGAAAACAGTGATAACCAATGACTCAGATGTTGAATATCTAACTGAGAGAAAACAACACAGAAAGATATTGCATGATAGAGCTATCTAGAAGCATTAAAAAAAAAAAATCAGCAAAATTTCAGGGTTCATAATGATAAGCTTTTCTTTACCAAGCACTAAGCTACCACGTATCTTCAGTCCTATCTTCCGGAAGCATTCTCTTTCCTCTTCTGTCATTATTCCTTGGTCTGCATCCCGCTCAGTAGGTACCCATGCAGAATTCAACTTCAATAAGTCCATCGCTGGCTTCTCTATCTTACTTTTAAGCTGAAAAATCCATGAGGATTATTTTCGAAACCAGCAGTGCAGTGATCATAATAAGATAATGAATTGAATCTTACCATGAAAAGCCTGTGCGCTTCTTTTCTCAATTCCCGCTCTAATTTTTCCTTCTCAGCTTCTAATTGAATTTCAGAATCCGCTTTTACTTTTGCCATCTTCTGAAATTTGATTTGGATGTCCTGGAATTCATATAAAGTTCCGCTTCTGCTTGTGTTCAATGGCTCACCAGCCATATAAAAATTTTCAATTGCTTTCATCCGTGCACCTTCTTCATTGGTTTGGCATTTTCTGATTGCAATTTCTCTGTCCACAATTACATTTGCAACTTGGCCCGGAAGAAAGTCTTTACCTCTATAAAGTATTATAAAAAACTTATTCCGAAGTAGCAGAACTCCTCCAGTGAGACTCTGCATTTACAACATTAATATTAGAAAAATCTACCTCTAAGATGTCGTTTATAGATAAGTGTGGCAAGTGCATGTTCAAGGCAACACTTGAAAGCATGGCCCTGTCGGACATGGGCCAATCTGCAACTCTTCAGACACCAAGTTTTGAATTAATGACGCAAATAGTACAGGTGATCCTCTCTACTCAGATCACTATAGCAGTGTCCTGGCAGCTAATGATACCAGAAGATGTCGTCCCTAAGTCAGTATGAAGTTCAACTGAAGACGACCAAAAATGGTCCACCTTACCCAAAAATCAAGGCAAACAAAGCAGATTGAAGAAAAATAGGACAACTTTCACATAGACATAACATAAACAAATCATAATCCAGCAAGTCAGTTAGTACGATATATGTGGCTTAATAGGTTTCTGGGTACCAAACTCACCTTGAGCTCATCTGCCATTTGCTCATTGTTAGTATTCGGAACTCCCCACTTCACAGCAATTTTAGCTATGATAGTCTTTTCCCACAATTTTAAGATGGAAGCAGCTAGGCCTTGAAGTCTTCTATTCCTCCCTACAGAAAATAAGCAAAAAATATACAAACCTTCATGATGCAAAACATTCCTGCATGCACACAAGCCTCTGGCATACCCCAATATGTATGATGTCATGCATCATTTCAACCAAATAGCTGTTACATGCCTGGTAGACCCATTTTCTCAATCAATTCTCAAGTATTGTCTCTTAATAAGATATTATATTTCGCTTTTTCCATTGTTTCAGTCAGCTTATATATGCATGTGTTCATTGTCCATGTGCCTATATATTACTATGAGTGTGTCTGCATGTGTTCCGAGAAAAAAAATCAAATAGAAAGCTTTATACAGCAAGAAAATACCAAGGACAAAATGAGTAGGTAGGGATTGAGCAAGCTTTCTAAAGTATGTCAGTTCATCATCTTTCAACTTTGATCTAGTGCATGGAGGGCAAAGCCTTGATGGTGGCCTGAATCCTTTCACTACTTCGGGAAGCAAATCTGCATCTACTGGCAATGGCTTTCGCATCCACCAGTCAACAAAACGAGGTCCTAAGCCATCTAATAATCTATCAGTTTCTCTCTCAAACAGTGATCCATTAATTGGTTGAGTATTCAAATCTGCTTCCGTTAAGATGCCTGCTGATTTGAACTCCTCTCCTACACCCATTCCAGGAAAATTCTCGTCAACAGTAGCGACAACATTATTTCTCTTCCACTGATAGTTGCATCCTCTGTAAACAACATGAGTATCTTTTCTGGTCCAAACAACCAAGCCTCCTGTCTTCATCTGTTTAAAAAGGAAATCAATAAAAAAAATGTACAAGTTGCATTTTAATTGGTCCTGGTGTAACAGAAAATTTTGGAAAAGAAAATACCACCCTTATACAAGTAGCCTTATTTTAAAGTTACCACCAAACACAGACAAGAACATCTGAGAAAGTATGACAACCTGTACAATATGAGCAGCTAAGATTCAAAAACTTCTCTATCCCCTATCCAATAAGCAGTATAATTTACAAATATCAGTCACAAGTAACTCTTTTACAAGCAGAATGAGCAATCTGAAAAGAATTATAACTGAATTCGGAGTTTAGAATTCGATCTTCTCTTTCTCAGGAAAATATAGGCTTTTAAATACAAGGTGTTCTTAATCAGGGTGCATATCAAGCTTCTGAACAGAAAGCATGTCTTTCCATGAAAAAAAAAGCAAAAACATAGACTACTTTAACAACATTTTGCATGTAAACATTAATTTGGTAACCTTAAAAAGCTTTTAAGACAAAGCATAAATGCCCCCAATTTAAAATTCAATTCTGGCCTATGTACCAATCACAGAAATCACTCTAATTCTATTATTAGTCCTCTCCAAACACTTACCTCCTAATTTACTTTCAACTGACTAAGAAAAAAGAATAAACATTTCATAAGAATCAATAAACCAACTAAAACTAGAAAAACAAAATAAACAACCAACCTCCACAATGTCTCTTGCTCTATTCATATTTCTACACAAAGGCATATAAAATTTAACCATAACAAGCTCACTCTTTCTCCAAGTCAATCTTATCTCATCAACTACACCCTGTGTCACCCCAGCTTTCTTCACCTTCACCCAAGTCCTCATCTTTGCAGCCTCTCCTCTCAATCTCTCAAGCAACTCCTTATCAAGACTCAACTCGGCCTTACCAACCACCTTCTCTTTTTTCATTCTCCAATTCCCAACTCTCTCTTTTCTCTCCCATGGCAGCTTCTTTCCGCCAAACCCCAAAACCCCCTCTCCATTAAGCTGTTTTAAGCTCTCTCCAATCTCAAAACCCCCACAATTCTCTTGAGTTTCCTTCAAGTATTGATCTTTTTGCAGTTTTTCAACACTTATAACAATCCTTCTATCACCAAAAACACCCAAAACCCCTTCTTTTCCAAGCTGTTTAAAACTCTCTCCAATCTCGAAACTCACAGAATTTTCTTGGGTCTCCTTCAAGTTTTCATCTTTCTGCAATCTTTCAACGCTTTTAACAATTTTTATCATCGCTTTATTGCCTCTAACCCCACTTTCTTTAGCAATCAATGCCTTGTCAGCCTTTTCAATCTTGCCATTCTTTCCTGGCTTCTTGTTTTTGGGGTTTGTAAGGTTAAGGAGTTCATGGGGTTGCAGAATGAGAGGACCCTTCACCCATGGAGGTGTTGGCACTTTAACATTGGTGGTGGCATTTGATTGTGAAATCGGGTTTGTCAAGACAGCAAGTTCTTTGTTGTTGTTGCTTGTGGAAATAAATGAAAGGGTTGTTGTTTGGTCGTTGTTTAAGGAAGTATTACTGCTCTTTTCTGTAGTCGGGTTTAAAGAGGATGTTATGGGAGTGTAAGAAGAGAATAATTTGAGACAGAGAGCTGATGAAGCCATGAGCGGTTGGTTTCCTTTCTGAGTGGAGTGGATTTTTTAATGCTAGGAGAGTGGATTCTTTTGACGAAACGAAAGACTGTATTTTTCTACAAAATAAAAAACATTTCCTTATATCCAGACCCAACCTAACTGCAGGCCTGTTTAACTAGTCAGGTCCAGTTGCTTTTTTCTTTTTCTTTTTTTAAGAAAAAAGAAAAGACAGTAAATAATCTAGTATTTTTAACACACTTCATAAAAAATAAAAAAATAATAAAAAAAACATGAACGTCGAAATTTGCTCCCCTGCAAATAGACTGACAAAATCCTTCTGATATACTATGATCTTCCAAACAACATCAATCCTTTCATGGACATGGAGAATAAATGGAGTTCTCTGAACTTTCATACCATGATTTCTTAAACATAGCCCAATAAAGACCTTTTTCCAACATCACTTTTGAAGGGTGGTTAGTAAAGAATTTTTTTTTTTTAATGAAATTAGCATGTTCTAATTTAAAAGTATTTTGATGTCAAAATATTTTTAAAAGGGTTCAAAATTCCATGATGAAAGATGTAAGAGAATAAAACTAATATTAACAAAATAAAAAACCAAAAATGACAATTGTATATAACAAAGTAAATGTAGTGCAAAAACTGGCCTGCCAGCTGGTTAAGAAGAGGCCTGGGATGGAGAGTTGAGCTCTCGAGCCAAACAATCAATGGTTTATCCAAACCATATAGAAATCATTTCATAGCTGCACTGGTTTCCTCTAAAACATTTAAAGACATGCAAACATGACCATAGAGAAGACAGGAAGAAAAGATTACACTTCTGCAGCACCGTTTATTGATTAGCACTCCTCCATTGAGGACAAAATTACAGTATTTCAAACACAAAATGCATTGCCACAGTTGCAGAATAAAAGTTGCTGAAGATCTATTTCCCATAGCTGTTGATTGTACTTTAATGACCTGCCATTAGGGACGAACACCCCAAGATTTTTTGAAAGCAGCTTTTATCTCTTGTTGCTTTCCAAAAAAAAAAAAAAAAAAACTAGCTTGGTACCAAAGACTAGCTGAGTGGGGGCCTAGAAGCTATTTTGTGGTTACCAAACAGCAACATCAAACAGACAATAAACATTGGCTTCTAGTGCTTGTGAGTGAATTGCAAGTTGAGCAAGCAGAAAACATTCCTTAAGCTGTCAAACTTTGTCGTCTCCTCTAAAACCATTTTTTGAGTCTAAAGGCACTAGAAATCATAAAAAAGACCAAGAAGATTTATATGCAAAGGCTACATACATGAGAAGCAGTCTAACCAAAACGCAAGTCTACCCAACAAAGTACAGGAAAATGTGCGAGAAACTATGCAAAGACGAGCAAATATGTCAATGCACTTTCTGGCATGAATCATCCTCAGCGTCACAAATGTGTCAATGCACCTTCTGCGCTTTCTGGCATGAATCGTCCTCAGGGTCACGAAGGGTTCCCAGCATCCAATCCATCCATATAGTATAATGGCCATAATTATGCTTGTATGTAGTATGGTGAATGGTGTGGTACCCAGCACCCATTATGGGCCATAGGTCGGCATGGATGCAATCATGGATATTTGCTGTCCATATACCCTCGATGAATAAGAGGGCTATGTGGGATCTAAAATGGGTTGGTACAAGAAAGAGAGCTATAACATGTGGTACAGCTTGAAGAATTCCATCAAGTGGGTGAAATGCCAGACCTGAAATAGACCGATAACCTCTAATTAGTGATACAAATTAGACATTCTGATCGTAAAGGTACAGTGGGACAGACATCTGACAAAAATGAAAATAGTTCCGAGTAATTAACCATTGTAAACAATTAATATGACTTGGTTCAAATAAATGCAATTGCTAAATGCAAATTCTACAATAACTTCCCTGAAAGAGGAAGGTAAGAATTTAATGTGCTTTTGATGGTTTTTTCACTAAATTCCTCAAGCACCACAATGAATTTTGAAATTCAGAAATACCATTACTGAATAGATCCTACATTCCCTGACTTTCCCTGACCAAGTCACGGAATGTGCAGAACAAAAATCAACTAAGTCACCAAACGTGCGAGACAAAAGTCCCAAAAACGAATTGTCTTCCCCTGATGTAGAAGCCACCTGATGTTGATGGAATTACTAACAAAGTTTATTCAAATTCATCAATAATTCCATACTTTTACCCTCTTGTATTAGAAGGTGGCTTCTACCTTTTACACTACTTTTTTGGAACTTAGATCCCATACATTCATTAACCAAGTCATACAGTGTGGATTCTTGTCCCACACATTGAGTGACTTGGTCACAGAAGGTGAGTTTTATTTGGTACTGATATTACTGAATTCTGGAATTCAGTGTGGTGTTTTCCGAAGTTCATTGAAAAGTTTGTCAAAAAACACAAGATTTGCCGAAAATTAAGTGCATTTCAAAGGTCACGTGAATAGACAAGAGAAAAAAGAGAAGCAGTCAACATTAGCAGAAAACAAACTTGTATTATATCTAATCCAGTTCTCTTAGTAATTATATAAAGTTCCGAGATTTTCACCCAAACAATTGAGCAAACCAAGCAAATTACACCTTATTAAAACTTTCAGCCAAGAAGCTACAACATTTTCTTTAGCTGCAAATTCTACAATGCCTCCCTGAATGCCATTTCCAAGAAAATTGCACTTCATCTGCAATTTTTACACTATATTACACGAGTCTTACTGAATATGTGCACATAGTTGGTACCAATGGTAGGTCACCTTCTGGCAAGATATGGATTGCTTATTGCTGAAATTTCGGCAACAAAGAAGGCAGTTCTATAACAGTCACCTTTTTCTAACTTGTAAAAAAGTGCTGTAACTGTACTTTGCAAGGGAAAGTGTTCCTTTTTTCGCAGTGACAAATGATATCCAGGATAATGTTCACCGGTTGTCCCTCTGAACTGGTCAAGGTACTATTGTCTATGGCCATGTTTGGTAAAACTTGCAAATCAGCAAGGAACCATTTGGGAAATGACATGAGAAATTGCACAAGGAAGTCAGATTTAGGTAAAGGAATTCTAAGGCATTTAGAATTTGCCAAATAACAAATGAAAAATAATAAGACTGAGACCACTTAGTCCAGTCTTTCGCGATCACTAATTGATCGTCTACCACTTTTTGGTTAAAGGCAACTTCTGCACTTAAATATAGTGTATGTCTATGTGAAAAGCAAAGGCCTTATGACTATATTTCCCTGTAACCAGCAATCTTCTTAATTTAAATGAGGCCAAAAGTTTATATTTGCTTGCACTAATAATGATATAAATGCTCAACGGACCAATCATGACATAAACAGTGAACAGAATACAGAGGATTAAGAACATACCAGCAAATGGAGAAAGAGTGTTCTGTTTGTTGTAGATGTGATGGGTTGCATGAAGATACTTGTACAAAGGTTTTATATCATGCAATTCTCTATGCATCCAGTAAATCCCAAACTCCGCAATAACTAGATATATAGCCAAATACATGATGTAGGCAAACCAACCAATTTCAGATATGCTAGAGAAACACTTTGTCCAGCCATTTTCAATCATGTACTCCGAAACTGTTGGAAGAAGAGTGTACCATGGCATAGCCTTCATAGCAACATATATTTGTAAGAGCATCGCTCTATTTGAAGGTATGGCATCTGCAATTGAATTGAGCAACAGATCAAAAAAAAAAAAAAAAAAAATGGTAATCTTAGGCCTGTAAGGAAACAAGCAAAACATCATCTCAAGTGAAAGATACGAGATTCTAAATGAAATCCAAAAGCAACCTTTCATAAGAATACCTAGTATGGCCATCTTACATAAGAAAAATCTCCCAGTACATCAATCAGAAACTTTTAAACGTCACACTTAGTTATTGAAATGGTGGAGCGATCTTATTAAAGAGGGATATGCACATGCTGTGAGCAAATTGGAACGGAAAAGAAAAAACATAAAGAAAATGTAATCTCTCTGAAAAGTGGTAACTTCCTTACACGTCATAACTTCTGTCATCATAATCATGGATTGAGGTAATGTTATGTTACATGGCATTCGGGCTTCATCACATCATGCTAACCAAATGGCTAAAACCAAAGAGACAGTAAGCAATCTAGGTAAGAAAACAAAGGCATGTAATGGCCTTTAAATTGACAAAAATATGCACCTTGTGACCAGTATCAGATAGGAAAACAGAAGGGAAAAAAACAACTGGGAGTTTGACATAAAGATCGAAAACTAATAACTAAATAAACTCCAATTCAAATTTAGGAACATTTATCCTCAAAAGAATGAGGAACATTTGATATTGAATACTTGGAATTGTAAAAGGAGGATTCAGGTTTTCCCACTACATCAACCATTAGAAGAAAGAAAAGAGTAGACAATCTAATATAACACAGAAAATAGATCATTACAAAGAAGACTGGCACTAACCAACTCAGACATAAACATTAATTCTTAATACAAAGCCAGTCAAAATCCACATGAAAATATTCTTGAAAAGTTTAGAATGAGTATAAATGATGCAAGAATCAAACTTGACAGCACAGCAGATACCATACATAGGCACATATTCAAAAGCAGCCAATAATAATGTCATAAATGGACAATAAACATACAAAAGATTCAAACTTTACAAGTAGGCATACACTTGTGAGTTGGGTCGTGATTCAAGTAATACCAACTCATCAAAGATGCCAGCCACAAATCTATCACCTCATTGAACATGCAAAACTTCAACAGTAACCAACTCTTGATTTTTTGAAAGCAGCTTTTATCTCTTGTTACTTTCTCCAAAAAAAAAAAAAAAAAAAAAAAATAGCACAAAACCAGTAACATCAATATTCAACTAGGAACAAACATAGCAACTGCAGAAAAAGACCCCGATGGAAAATCAACAAAATTAGATCAATCCCATCAAGCATTAACATCTCAAAAGAAGAACTTTTGAAACAAATAAAAAAGAAGACTCAAATCATATCTTAATTGACATGAAACACTAAGCAAACAAACCCAGATTTCAAATTAAATTTAAACCAGATTTAAAAATAAAACCAACAAAAAAAGTTATAGCAACTCAAAAAATCAACTGAAAAAACAAAAACCAGATTCAAAAATCTAAGAACTGAACAGAACCAATCTCAAATCAACAAGAACATCAAAAAGAAATGCGTGCTACCTTTAGGGACATAAACATTGCGTTTCAAGTAATAAATATAGAAGCACCAGAGGAATCCAGAGATGAAGTAAAGGAGAGTTCCAGCAATGTAGTTACGAAGCCAAGTCTGCAAGAAATGAGGCAGTGTGACCCACCAACTGGACGGTAACAAATGCCCCAAAACAATGCTGTTGAACATTGATGTCTCGTCCAAGAATTGCTGCAAGTACTTGTCTCCCTCCATCTTTATGTATGGTCTTTCAGATTCACGGTCGACACGTCGCCAGCAATATAGGGGAGAGAGAGGGAGAGAGAGGAGAGAGAGAGAGAGAGAGAGAGAGAGATGGAGATGCAGGTGGTATTCGGTGGAAGAGAAAGACTATTAGCTGTCTGATAAAACAAGGAACTAAAACTGTGTGTTTGTTGTAGTGAAGTGAACTACTTGTACTTTGGAGTTCGGAGTTTGGACTTGGGAGTGGGAGACTCCTTTTTCGCTTTTTTCTTTTTCTTTTTTTCTTTTCTTTTTCTTGGCGTCCTGTACTAAAACCTATTTAGGCTGCGTTTGTTTGCAACTTGTTTTCCCATTTTGGCTCATTTTTTTATGTTTGTTTTGTGTTTGAGAAATAAATCAATAAAAAATAATTTTTAATTAATAAAAAAATGATAAAGTATTTTTGAAAAAAAATTTGAACTAAAAAAGAGAAAATTTTTTCCTTTTTCTTACGAGCTATCTCGCTTTCGCATTACTCACCTCTCTCTCGATATATTTTAATAATTTTTTTTGTCTCTTTTTTATTTAAAATATATCAAATTAATTTTTAATTATTTCTTATCAATTATTATTAATTATTTAGTTATTGTTTTCTCTATTTCTACTAACATTTGATTTTTCAATTTATAAATACATTAAACATTCTTAAAAATCATTTTTACACCATAAAATTATTTTTATAATAAATATTTTAATAATTTATCTCTACTTTTTTACCATTACCACAAACATACCTAAATTATACTTAAATGATTAGAAATGATTATTATAAGACTGCAATCATTTGTGAAAATTCTAAAACTAATTAATTCATTAATAAATACATTATTTTTTCAATACTATTTATTTGTAATTAAATCAATAATTTGTTACTAATTTTAATCAATTGTAAATTTTTTTTAGTAATTGTAGTCAATAATTTGTTATAAATTATTCCAATATTAATTTTTTGAAACAAAATAAATAATTATCTATAAATTATTTTTTAGACTAAATTATTAGTTCAATTTTCAAAAAAAAATATTTTTTGCATTTCAGTTTTACGTATCAAATAAACACTAAAATATATTTTTCAGCAATTTTTTCAAGTAATTGCCAAATGTAAGAAAATATTTTTTTACAAAATAATTTTCTGAAAAATAGTTTCTCATAATTGATTTTCCTATGAAATTTAATTTTCTACCAAACAAACGTAGCCTTATACAGATTTTGTGCAATGAAACGTATCCAGACTCTTTATCAAAATATACAAATAATCACTACACCAATTATTAAGTGTAAATAATTTTTAAATAAAATTATGAATAAAAATAGGTCCTTTTCTTAAGTTGGATTAATTTCCATCCATTTTAACTAGCTTTTTTTTCCTTCTTCTTGATCGATCATGAAAACAAAGAGTAAATTATAAATTAATCTCTCTTATTTAGAAAAATAAATTAATTATTTAATTCTTCACTTTTTAATTTCGTTAATAATTTTTTTTCGTCAGTAATTTAGTTTTCTCGTTAATTTTTTGTTAGATTAGTATTTTTATTCTCAAATTGCTTTTCTTTTTATTTTTGATTTAAAAAAGAGAAAAAATTTGACTGAAGAAAAGAAATAAGGTATAAAAAAAGAAAGAAAAAACAATCAGTAATGCAACGAAAAACTAATAAAAAAAAGTAAATTATTAATAAAATTAAAAAGTAAGGAATTAAATGATTAGCTTTTAAAATGAAAAAGGCTAATTAATTTGTTTCTTGAAACAAAATGAACTAATTTATAATTTACTCCAAAAAAAAATCATTATCCGATCTATTTGTTAAATTTCATTATTGTTAAATTTGGTTTTGGCAAAAATAAACAATAATAAAATTAGTTAAAACTTAAATAAAATATAGAATTGAGAATTAAAAAAAAAATCAGATTCCCATGTCAATTACAGATCAAATTAGTCCACCATCAAACCCGAGTGAATTATAAATTAATTCTTTTGATTTTGAAAAACGAATTAAATAATTTTTTTAAAAAAATAATTAATTATTTCTTTAATTAGAGTAGACCCTGATTAATTTAATATTACTTTGTATAAAAAAAATTTCTCGTTTATCTTGTCATATTTTTATTTATTTTATTCCTTTTATATTTCTCAATAAGTTTAAATTAATTTAAAAATAAAAAATAAGGTACAAATAAATTTAAAATATAAAGACTAATTAATTAATTTTCAAAACTAAAAAATTTATTTAATTCATTTTGAAAAACTAAAAAAATTAATTTATAATTTACTCATAAAAACCCAAATCATATTGTCTGCTGCAGCATTACCCATCAACAACCGAATCATGATCAAATGATTAATTTATTAAGAAATCTAGAAATAATCTGTGCATTCAATCTGGCTCTCTCCGCCACCATATCTCTCCTCCTTTCTGATCTTATCAAATACAAATCCACCATAGAAAGATGCTTGTAATTCAACATTTTAATTTTTTATACTACTTGTAATCGATTCTACGCATATTTTCTTTTCGATTTATGTTTTAGGTTACAAATTATAAGTTTTTTCTTTACTTAAATAAAAAAAATTAATTAATATACACTACAAAAATCAATTGAATTAGTGACGGTCTATACCGTCGCTAATTCGAAAAAAATCGTCGGTAAAATGATTTAGCAACGGTGCAAAGACCCTTGCTAAAATGTCAATCGTTAAATTTTTGCGATGGTTTTTGAACCGTTGTCAATTAGTTCGTCACAAAAAATAAAAAAACCATTACTAAATATGGTAGTAAAAAGAGGGAATATTTGCGACGGTAAAAAACCCTCGCTAAGTCCATCGCGAGTTTAGCAACGGACTTTGCAATGGTCGATAGACCGTCGTAAATAATTATGGACTAGTGACGGTTTATACCGTCGCTAAGTCCGTTGCTAATTGTTTGATTTTAATTTTTTTCCACCCCCAATTTAAATTATCTAAAATTAACCAAATTCTATTTAAAAAATCTCCTAAATATCTAACACATAATATTTTAAAAATTTTAATATAAATTGTATTAAAACGTCGCTAAATATTATTCGGTTATTAAATTCATGAAAACGAGTACAAAGTTTGTTGTTGTTACAAGAAAACATAATAGCTAAAAGAAATGGCCATGATCACTCGGAGGTTGGGTGGATTAGTCTTCGGTCTTAGGCACGACGGATGAACTACCACCTTGCTGAAAATGTTGTATGAACATCTGTTGCATCCGTGACATCTCGTATGTTGTTGTCAACTATACTCCTTCAACTCATTTGTTGTAGCCAACAACAATGTGACACAATCCTCTAGTGTTGTGATAGAACCCCGTAGGTTATGGACATCTATCATATTTTCAAATGTTTGATCATTTACTTCTTTGAGTCGTGCCTCATCAGCAACATGGAATCGCAAAGTTGTTGAGCTTAAGGCTCGTATTAATGTTAAAGTAATAGTGAGATGCGTGTGACTCGAGTCCGTACATCCTCTTTCTCTTACTATCTCCTCCAACAACGACCTTCCAAAAAATCTAATTAATATTGGCTCTAGTTAGGGGTGAGCATTCGGTTAAACGGTTCGATTAAGTATAATTCGATTCGATTTTCGGTTAAGCGAAGTAGGAAAACTAAAAATCAAAAGCTGAATCGAAATTAATTCGGTTAATTCGGTTTGTAACCAAATTATTTCGGTTCAATTTTGAAATAATTCGATTTAACCAAACTTTTTCATTACTTCTCCATTTCGGACTTTAGACAGTTCTCCCAAAACTTCCATTTATTTTTTCTTTGCCTAAGTTGAGTAATTAGCAATGCCGAGCTAACAAGTAACCATTTTCTTTTCTAAAAAGGATTCAACACCCAAAAAAAAAAATTCATAATGAAAGTCAAATTTAAACACCCAACATGTTTAACATTCATATATCGAAAAAGGAAATAAGTCATGCAAAACAATTGTTGACGAAACAAAGATCTAGATAAAATATGATCAACATTAAACAACAAAAGCATGGTAGAATAGCCATTCTCATTTCTCAACAAAGAGGACGAGACACGAGCTCTCTTCATGTCCTAAAACAAATGATTTCTATGCATTTGCAATACCTTCACCCATTCGGGATCCGCAATAGAATGAAATCCCAACAAACACTCAATACTCCCGAAAGAGGATATTAACATGCTACGAAAATCAAAGGCGGTAGGCCTACCGCCCATCGTAGGTAAGCGAGGAGACACCAAATCGGTAGGCCTACGCCGGTGGGCACGAGGCATCGAGGCGGTAGGCTACCGCCTACTATGATTCTCTTCTCTAGTTTAATGAAAATGAAAATTTATAATTCCCACTTACCGACTAAACTTGCACAAACAACAGAATAAAAAATCAAACTTAGAAAATAGAAACTTACTAACTTACACATACCATTCATCACGCCAAAAACACCATAAAGTCATCAACCCATCAAGATTCAAGCATTTGTAATAGAGGTAGTGGCAAGTGGTAACTCTAAAAATTATAAGATAAAAAAATTAAACTTTTAACATTAATATAGAGGAAAGAAATAACAAATGAAAAGGTAAAAGTTATAGAAATTACCATCTTGCATTTTCTCAACATCATGTAAATTTTCTTCAATGCTAATTGGTGTCGATGAATTTTAAATCCAATCTTGAGCACGTATAAGAGATTCCACTAAGCTAGGAGTCAAAGAACTCTTAAAGTAGTCAAGAACCGTTCTTCAAGTGCTAAATGTTGATTACGAGGAAACAAGTAGAAACAGGAACCGCCAATACATCCCTAGCCATTTGTGAAAGGATGGGAAACCGAGGAGAATTGGTTTTCCAACCATTCTAAAATATTAAAATCAGCACTCGTTGTTTTCAACACCTTTACTAAGATATTTATCCAATTCCGTTTTATTTCCTCCACCTCTAATATCACACTTGTATTTTTCAAAACGCATCATTATCTCTTTTTT